TAACAGCAGACTGACTGCTCGTAAAATTAACGACAGGTCTGGACCACTTGTAAATTTTGTTCGTATCTGAAAAAAATCTTTGAATACGAAAACATTGGTGAATGCCACAAATTCTCCTAAATCACTCGTATGCACAACTTAAGAACAAATCTGTGCGTACGAACGGTTCTTGCATGAGGCCCAATCTCCTCATATTCGGTTGGTACGGATGTGACGATTCCTGTAAATTGATCCTTGAGCGATACAACGATCCCAGAATCCACGTGTAGTTTCACCCGTGTAAAAAAGGAAGGCTCGGGATCTGTGATATCACCGGTCCAAGCGTTCTCGTAGTCGGCGCTGTTTATCCGTTTCAATTTAGCCAACGAAAACCCCTTCGCTAAGATAACGAACGATGATGCGTTGTTGGAAATTCCGCTCAAGTACACGTCGAGCTCAGCTAGTTTGTTATCCGCGGTTAGGCTCACGTCAGTGTTTTCGCTCAATAGAGCGACGTGGAGCTTTGTTATGTTTTGTTGCGCCGCGACAACACACCGAGGCTCGCGTGATGTAAACTCGCTCAGAGTTACCCACTTGCGCTGTGAAATCATCAAGTCCTGCAGCCACAAGCGGTGCATTTGTGGTCACGAGTTCGTCTGCGTTTCGAAGGTTGTCGGATACCGGTAATTGCACGTGTCCGCTCCTGAAGGGCGCTGCCGCATCTCCGGTTCTCACGCAGGCAGCCGATGGCCACGTTGTCGGGGTACAGTGCCAGCGCTGCGCGCCCCGAATACCTAATGCGGGTGAATACAGAAAGCCCGCTTGTGGCCGGAGAGCAAACCGCATCCACCGTGGCGGGTGTCGCTTGAAGCGGATCGTGAGACCTCACTATCAGCGTAACGTCGCCGGCATCCACGTTGTCCGCCACCGTGACCGAAATGTCCGTTGCGAGTGCGCTGTCGAGGATCGTGAACACACTGATTGTCTTTATGTGGAGCGTCGAGCCTTTACCCAATTCGAATACGCTGTATTCGCTGCCCGGCTTGCACGAGACTTTCGACTCCGGGCCCGTTTCTAGGTATAACTTTTTCTGGAGCACAGCATCGGTAAACGTCACACCTTGACGCTTTCGACGCTGACCGCTTTCACGTTCGCCACCTGTGTGGTAACAAGGAGTAAACCTTGCGGATCGATTCTCAGGTTACCTCTCATGTGAGCTTCGCTTATCACGAGCGTATCGGTTGCACTGCCGCCCATCAGAACAAGGCGAGTAGCGGAATTTACTTTTGACGTGGCCGGAAGAGAAATTGAGGCCGTGGATGGAAGCGAGCCTATTAAAAATACAGTTTCGGCATTGGCTGTGCCTCGGTACTCACCCTGAAACCCAATGTTGATTATGGCGGGTGTATCTTTTTGGGCCACAAGATCAGCTTTATAGAACGTGGGCAAGTGCATCATGTCAGTTATACATAACCCTTTTTCGTTTCTACTGTTTGGCGAACATTGCAATTTCACAAGGGGCGCATTGAGATATAAAGCCACGGGGTGCTCGGATTCTTTGAGTGCCCTAGTGACGATATACGGGTCGAGTTTGACGTCACCACCTGAGGATACAATGGATAATGTGTTATATTCCTGCCGAACGGAARGACACTTCTCTTTATTAAAATCGGGTCCGTATACAAAAGTATCAAACGCTTTCGTTATGTACACTCCCGGAAAGTTGCGCCACAGGAAAAACTTATTCTGTTTCGACTCTTTCTTGAGCATAGTTCCGACGGGAAAGCTTCGCAGTGCACCATCGATCTTGCGTTGCACTCGTTCCGGAAACATCGGGAACAACAAGTGATCGGGCGTATTGAAGTTTCGCACGAATTGCCCGGATCGCACGACTTCTAAGAACAAACTCGAGAACAACAAGGGACCGGGCATTTTGAGYTTTTGCACGAGTTGCCTGGATTGCAAGCTTTGTTCTACCATCYAACCCATGATCACCTCTTCACTGCGTGGCGTGAGGCACRGCCGGTCGAGATTATCTTGTTCTAAAGCGACTTCCGCCCCACACGGTCGTTCAAAGTTGGGGGTAGATCCGTCGAAGAGCACGCAATCTTCCGGAGTAACACCCCTACTATCGATTTGTGTACGCTCAAAACGTGTCCTGCAACACACATGGTGTTTTTTATCGCATAGATCTTTAACGCGCCACACACACTTCTCTTCCACGTTACGCACGCGCACGGGTATCAATTTAAAAGACTTCAAGCGCTGAAAGTCCACGTCGCTCAGATTGTGCTTTACGTTTTCGTCGAAGGTGGGCATCACGGTGTATCCTCTAGAACAGTCTTTATTTTCTTTAGAAAACCACGCGCTATGCACCGTGGTGACGGGGTATGCAATCGTGATGTTGACTGAACATCACGCCATGAAAGCGCTAACGCTTTCATGGCCGCGTTGGCGATGTTGTTGTTTGGAGTCTGCAGCCGTTTTAGATCCTCGTACCGCTGCGCTGCCGATTGCGACCCAAAAAAACAGCGGCGCCCAACATCACGATCTCCGATGTATCGAGAGGCAGTCCGTTCGTGACGGAGTGGACCGTGTGTACGGCGTAGTTGAGTTGCGTAACCGTAACCACCAAAGCGTCCAGGGCCATCATGGGCATGCTAGCCGCGCTGAGCGACTCGAATACCAGTTCCACCAGTTGCATTGACGAACGGGCGAGCCAGTAGTAATTCTGGAAGCTATGATGTCCGTTGGTCACATCGCGTACGCTCTGCACGAAGAAGAACACGCTCGCCACGACCCCAGCCATGTGCATCACAGGATTGTCCAAAAGCAAGGCGAGTTTTTGACCCAACTCTGCCGTTTTGGCGTGCTTCATCAACTTTGCGGCTAACATACTGTTGGCGCCATTCAACAGGTCGATTGAGGCGAATGTTTGAACAATCGGGTCATCTGATGACGCCAGCATGTGCATACTCATGACCATACTGTATGCACGAGCTCCCGTGACCCAAAACTTGACAGCCTCTTGAGACGGACCGTGCTGGGGCGCTGCGGCGCGAGCGTACGCTCGCGCCAGAGTCTTGGTTTCTTTGTGTAGTTCGCTCGAAACTTGCTCGTGCGCCTCAGCTGTAGCCTCGGCTATAACTTTCTGTGCTTCGGGGTGCTCCATAATGAGTTTCAAGTCATTTCGGGCCTTTTCCACGGCAYCGGCGCGCTTTCGAACCAGCGCGTCCACCACGCTTCTGGGCGCCTCAAATGTTACAGTTTMTAAAATGTTACTAGGCACAGCTTCCGAGAGCGAGACGTATAGCTCGCCATTGTGGTTCGACAGTTCAGCCTTGTGTTTGCCTTGGTAGATAAAATCGTCGTTGGACTCCATGGTATACTCGCGCTCGTCGGTCAACGAACACGAGCTTCGCCGACGCCTGGTCCCCGAGAAACCACACGCGCCCATTTGCTGATATAACTCCGAATCCTCTTCGTCCGAACTGACAGCATCGGGCTTAGCCAGTCTATTGTGRTCATCCTGAGTGTACACCGGAATGTCAGGGGACGCGTCGGCGACGATCGAACCGAACCAGTTCCGTGTGTCTTGCCTGCTGATCGCTCCCACCCATGCGGGATCGAGGGCTGTGTGATCTACGAACTCTGCTCTGACATGCGCGGGGCCTTTGATTTCCAGTGTGCGCAAGACGGGCGTCAACACAAATTGTTCATACAGGCTCTCTTTTTTACCCAAGCGTTTCCGTTCGGCTTCTTTTTCAACAAGATACTTGTTGAACAGCTTGTTGGCGTGTGACTGTAGCAACGTGTCCAGTGTGTGCAATCCCAACACCGCGGTATACTTAGTTCTCAGAGTTTCGTACATGCACACGGTTGTCGGATCGTATCTTTCACGAAATATATTCCCGTTATTAAACAACTCGTGCGTAGATTTGTCTATTGTGAATTTAGAGTCCTTGTGTTGGTCGGGCGATGAAACAACATTGTGCAGCATGTACGACTCTCCTCCAGGAGTTGTTGCGACAGGTGCCGATATCATCTTTCTCAAGGTTTTATATTGGAGCGTAGTCATACTGACACTTGTGTATTTTGCCGATGCGCCAGACTTGAGGTAAATTAAATCTGTGTTAAACTGAGCATACTCTGGTATATCAGCGACATGCGGAGCACCACCAACAATTTTGGGTTCTAGAAATGCCAACTTCTCCGCGGCGCCGGGTTCCTTGCGTAGCGTGTCACCGACGAGAACGTATTTCAAGTTCATACCCRTTTCCAGTTGAGACTTTTGTTCATGGGTGGGCGCTTCCAGGCGAACGTCGGCATCGTAGTACACGAGCCCGCCCGTGGCTCTGTCTTGATACGCACCAAACGCCATGTAGCGAAGAACATCAGAGGCAGAAGCGTACATTTTTTTTTGACTTGAGGAATTCGTAATAAGCGGACATGGCATTGTACAATTTTCTTACAGGGCCCCACGAAGTGGGCGGCTCTGAGGTATATTCGACCGCCTTAGGACACCGCTTGAATACATCCGTGTCCAAGTCCACAAATCGCGGGTCGAGACCTCGTTCTTCCAGGTATTGCTTGGTTCTGGCGTCCGCTACGATTTTGTGGCCGGGCATTGTCTCAGCGTGCCATTTGATGCTATCCACGTGCCGGGCGATGTTCTCGCAACAGCCCACCCATACCGTGAAATAGAACAAGTCTGGTTTCGGGGTAACCACATGGTCTGGTACCGGGCCTCCTTCGGAGACAGCAGCATCAGACGAGGGTGCACGCTCTGGTGTCTGATTGCCGCTGCCGGCTGCAGCGGCAGGGTCCTTGGGATCTCCGTCGTGCCGCTGCAAGTTGCCCTGGTTCGAAGTCGGGTTGTGTCCGTTGCACATGGAGCCCAGCAGAAGTACGATGAGCATAACGTCTGTTGATAGGTACGAGGCAGACGCGACAAAGCCACGGCGTCTACGCCGTATTGGGTTAAACATTGCGCGGGTTCAGAAACCTTGGTTGTTTGGATTCGGAACACCGAGGACTGTATAAACCTAGCGTGTCATCGCCCAGTATATATACACATGAGTGTTGTGTTTACGACGCGGGCAGAACGCTCGCGTCTGTCCGACCGCACATAGTCCCACCCTATATTACATCATATGAATCCCGGTTCGATTGACCCCAAGTTTGGTCGAACGCGTCGGTATCCGACCGATCACACGTAGCTTTATATTTTACGACAACCATCACGTGACTTACCGTAATATCACGTAGTGCTTGTCCGGGGTGGGGTGATCCGACCGAGCGCGATGGGCCCATATTAGTAACTGTGCAATATTCCGGAAGACGATAACAGTTACCATCCCGACCGACCGACCGTATTTGGGATATACGCAGTTTCGACCCCGACCGACCACGGTCCCGACCGACCGCGCGCCATGCGGACGAGCCATCGGAGAGGAGAAACACACAATCGGTCTTCTCCGTGCCCCGCAGACAACCATCGTTATATATTCTCCTCGACGCAGCCATGTTCTCAGAGACTTCGTCCCGGTGCCCGGAGGAATCGAAACCGGACGATGATCGCTACAGCCCGGCTGGGATGCGTGCGTATGTGCCGCTTCTGGTCGAACAGTGGCCCGATCTCATCGCAGACCTCGACGGAGCCTGGTGGGGCGACGAGATGACGAAGGCTTCGGCGAAAGAACGACTGACCTCATCCGCGCTGCAGCCCGGGTGCACGGTGGTCTGCGCTCCGTACGAGGACTCTCTCCACGGAACCGTATTGTCGGCCTCRGTGCTGACAAAGGCGCGCGGCGTCGTGCAACTTGACGTCGTGCAGACCGGCGTCGACAAGTTTACGGTTGTGATCTACAAGGACAGAATGATGTCCACCGTGACGTATCCGCGCCGCTCCATGTTGACCGAGGGGGTGGCAAAACTTGCCAAAGAGAACCTGGAGAGCGGAGCGGTGCCCGAGTTGTACCGGTGCGAACTGCTGAAGCCCGAGGAGCCGTTGATCGACAAGGACTGCGGGGTCGCGAGCACGATGAACGAACTTTACACGTTTGTCGACTCGCTGAAAAGAGAAGGCCTGTGGRGGGGTCTGATCCCCGACGTGCGCAAGAGGGACGACAAGGCGTTCGACGAGCACCTGCGGGCGCCGAAAAGCAACCGCGCACCCGGGATCGCCTGCGTGACATACTCTCACGAGGGGCGCGGGTGCTTGTTTCACATGTATACAACCAAGGGTCTGTTTCAGGTATACCTGGGACCGCGAGGTGTTGGGTTTCGACTCTGCAAAGGATGCCGCTATGCAGAGCACACGCTCGGGCCCGGGGGCGTTTTGTTGAAAAAATACGCGCTGGGAACCGCCAAAAAGTGCACTTGCAAGTACACGGCGGGGAACCTGAGGCATTTCTTCGAGGACGACAGAAACATCAAGTTTGTCCCGTACGACGTTTCCGTTGCAAAGAAGAAAATTGACGACGACGACGAATGATGATGAACAATGAAATCAAAAGGAAATTGGTCCCGGCGAGCGAGTTGATTTGGGGTTTATTCAGATGTTGATGAACCACAATATCTGTACCGATTAGGTGTGTGTTTTATATATAAAACAATATTGATAATTATCAATGGGTTGTTTACTACTTTTTTTCTGTTCATTATGTTTTACAATGCGTATAATACTTTTTGCATATTATGTTGTTTGTGATCTTTTTAATTTACAAAACTAATAAAATGAAAACACACATATACATTTTCACTATTGTTTTTCTTTTTTGTTCGTTCATTATTGTTTATTCTAATAAAACAAAATGTTCATTTTATAACATCTTGTGTTGTTTCGATTTTCTTTGTAATAAAAATGTTCATTTTACAACATCTTGTGTTGTTTCGATTTTCTTTAATGTTTGTTGATTAAAATGGTCTTCGTGGTGAATATAAGTTTTTTTTGTAACTCGACCACACAGAGAGAGCGTCAACTTGTGTATTTAAGAGAATACTGTATCATACGGAAGCGTATTGCTATCACGCAGGAAAAAAAAATCCGAGCGCTATCACATTAGAACGTGATACGTATCTTGTTAAAACGTGATACGTATC